CCTTTGGAAAGCCATTTGTCAAATCCCGACTTACCACACAATTCAAAGCTTGAGTCCTTTTGGAAAGCAGTCAAGAGAGGTTCTGGGTTGTTTTGAAGCCATATGGGCCATGGTGCCATATGAAATATTTCTCCCGGATCTATAGGGAAACCTTTGGAGCTTTTCTGATTTATGGCATGGAGTGGAATCCGTCATTTGGGGAGGGTGGCAATCCCTTTCGGCACTGGATGACTTGTTCTGTGTTTTTTAAATACATTTATTTCGTACTCTTGCCTTTTATGGTGTTTTGATCATGGTTGGGTCTGCATTGCCACATGGTCAACGTAGACTTGTGTATTCATCTGCATTTTATGGGTCTACAGAAGTGGTTCTGAGCAGGAACTACTTTGATTTTCTCTGGGCAAGCAGATGGTGACTACTGGGTGGCATATGTTCTGAATCAGAAACTAGAGCTGATGTGGTCTGTCCAATGCAATTTTGGAGAGTGGTCCCTGGTCAAAGTGATCCTTGTTCAAGTGGTCCCTGGTCAAAGTGATTCCTGGCCCAAGTGGTCCCTGCTCAAAGTGGTCCCTGGTCAAGTGGTCCCTGGTCAAATGGTCCCTGGTCAAGTGGTCCCTGGTCAAATTGGTCCTTGGTCAAAATGGTCTCTGATCAAAGTGGTTCCTGGTCAAAGTGGTTCCTGGTCAAAGTGGTCCCTGGTCAAAGTGGTCCCTGGTCAAAGTGGTCCCTGGTCAAAGTGATCCCTGGTCAAAGTGATCCTTGTTCAAGTGGTTCCTGGTCAAAGTGGTTCCTGGCCCACGTGGTCCCTGATCAAAGTGGTCCCTGTTCAAGTGGTCCTTGGTCAAAGTCGTCTCTGGTCAAATGGTCCTGGTCAAAATGGTTCCTGTTCAAGTGGTCCCTGATCAAATTGGTCCTTGGTCAAGTGGTCCTGGTCAAAATGGTCCATGTTCAAGTGGTCCCTCATCAAATTGGTCCTTGGTCAAGTGGTCCCTGATCAAAGTGGTCCCTGGTCAAAGTGGTCCCTGGTCAAAATGGTCCCTGGTCAAAATGGTCCCTTTACAAGTGGTCCCTGATCAAAATGGTCCCTGCTCAAGTGGTCCTTGGTCAAAATGGTCCCTGCTCAAGTGATCCCTGATCAAAGTGTTCCCTGTTCAAGTGGTCCTGGTCAAAGTGGTCCCTGGTCAAAATGGTCCCTGATCAAAGTGTTCCCTGATCAAAGTGTTCCCTGATCAAAGTGTTCCCTGGTCAAAGTGTTCCCTGATCAAATTGGTCCCTGGTCAAAATGGTCCTGTTCAAGTGGCCCCTGATCAAAGTGTTCCCTGGTCAAAGTGTTCCCTGGTCAAAGTGTTCCCTGGTCAAAGTGGTCTCTGGTCAAAGTGGTCTCTGGTCAAAGTGGTCCTGGTCAAAATGGTCTCTGATCAAAGTGGTCCCTGGTCAAAGTGGTCCCTGGTCAAAGTGGTCCCTGGTCAAAGTGGTCCCTGGTCAAGTGATCCCTGGTCAAAGTGGTCTCTGGTCAAAGTGGTCTCTGGTCAAAATGGTCCCTGGTCAAAGTGGTCCCTGGTCAAAGTGGTCCCTGGTCAAAGTGGTCCCTGGTCAAGTGGTCCTGGTCAAAGTGGTCCCTGGTCAAAGTGGTCCCTGGTCAAGTGATCCCTGGTCAAAGTGGTCTCTGGTCAAGTGGTCCTGGTCAAAATGGTCCCTGGTCAAAGTGGTCCCTGGTCAAAGTGGTCCTGGTCAAGTGGGCCCTGGTCAAACAAAAATTGGGAACCACTGATCCACATCATAGAATTAATGCAGTTTGACACCACTCTAAGTGCTCTGGTTCAATGCTATGTAACACTGGGATATTCAGAGCTATGGAATACTGATTATTTTGTAGAACTACACATCCCAGGATGCCATAGCCTTGAGCCCTGGCCATTGAAGTGGAGTCAAACTACCAATTCTACAGCTATATGGGTGTCTCTCTGTAGATAAAGTGCAAGCACGCCACTCCCCCCCCCCCCCCCCCCCCCCCCCCCCCCGGTCTTGCCCTACTTCTTTGGCTTTTCTTGGCAGCCTGACATGGGGAAATGAACACAGTCTTTCCCATGACTTGACGTTACTGCCAGAAAACACATTGCCTGCTCCTTTTCCAGCCACGAAAAGCCCCAAAAAGAGATAGTGCTGAGTTCAAAGTCTCCCAGGGGCTCCGCTAGCTTGGAATGTTCAACCTCCTTCCAGCTCTTGATTCGACATTGTCTTTTCCGCCTTCCTATTTTTCTTTGGGGGGAGGGTCGGGGCGGAGGTGCTTTGACCTCATTTGGCCGAGCAAATGGTTCAAAGAGAATTTCGGAATGGGAACACATAGGACATGACATCCCCCATAGATGTCCTACCTTCCCCGGCCATTTCTTCTGGTCTGGTCTATTCCCACCTTTTTTTCCATATGTCTTCTCCTTCTTGTGGTTGAAACAAAGCTGGCCCTCCATCCCAAACAGCTCCAGATTTTAAAGACAAGGAGGCCTGAGCTGAGACCAACTGCATCTTCACTATATTTCACATATTTTTTACAAATTGCTGTCAAATTGGCTTTGGTGACCTTCTGAATTGAGACCTCCGAGACTCCTCTTTGCCAATGTGGGTCTTGCAAATGTCCGTGCTTGGCTGTGTCCATCTGTAACTTAATCTTCCTCTTCCTAAAATAGCATCATCTTTTCAAATCAATATGGCCAAATTACATCAGACTCCTATCAGGTTCTATGGCAGGGGTAGGGAACCTTTGGCCCTCCAGCTGTGGTGGACTTCAACTCCCACAATTCCTTGAGGCTCGGCATTCGCCCCAAAGGCTTACCTTGGCCCAATGCCGAGCCTCAAGGAATTGTGGGAGTTGAAGTCCACCACAGCTGGAGGGCCAAAGGTTCCCTACCCCTGTTCTATGGCATTGGTTCCCAATTTTTTTGGACCAGGGACCACTTTGACCACCACTTGACCAGGGACTCCTTGAACAGAGACTCATTGACCAGGGACCACTTTGACCAGGAACCACTTTGACCAGGGACCCCTTTGACCAGAGACCCCTTTGACCAGAGATTATCTTGACCATGGACCACTTTGACCAGGGACCACTTGAACAGAGACCCCTTGACCATGGACCACTTTGACCAGGGACCACTTGACCAGGGACTACTTGAACAGAGACCCCTTGACCAGGGACCACTTTGACCAGGGACCACTTTGACCAGAGACCACTTTGACCAAAGACCACTTTGACCAGGGACCACTTTGACCAGGGACCACGTTGACCAAGGACCACTTTGACCAGAGACTGCTTGACAAGGGACTACTTGAGCAGAGACCCCTTGACCCAGGGACCACTTTGACCAGGGACCATGCTCCATCATTAGTTCCAAAAGAGTTACGAATCAGTTTTTGGTCAACTTTAGATTTGGTTTGGTTGTTTGGGGTACTGATTCAGAAAATTGCATTGGGTAGACCACATCAGCTCTAGTTTCTGATACAGAACTTACGCCATCCAGTAGTCACCACCTGCTCACCCACAGAAAACCATATTTAATAATCTAGAGCTGATGTGGTAGTAGTAATCTTTCATAGGTAGTCAACCTCTCCTCTCCCAACATCCCCATTGCCTCAACACCATAAGAGGGTTTCACGAGACTAGTCACTCTTGTTGCCACATGGTTTCGAAGCAATGCTGTAGTAATGGTGAGGCCGTGGACCATATTTTCATTCTTGTGGAGCACTGGTGGTCCACAGACCACAGGTTGGGAACCACTGTTCTTTGGAGAGTACAGATTTGATTTTCTCCAGGACTCATTTATGTGTCTTTTTGTCATTTGTTGCATTCTCCAAACACGTTCCTTTCTTCATGACCTAGCAAAACAATAAGTAATAACTAACGCATTGCTTAAACAAAACATAGTTATGGATATTCTATCTTCAGGCTTTCTTGGCTAGAGATGCTTCAAGAGAGTTAGCCATTGACTGGAAAAATGTGAGTTGGTCAAGGTGGGCCCATGATTTTTCTATGGAAGAGCAGAGTTCAAAGGATGGTCTTCCAAAGTCCTAGTTCCATGTTCAACCCATTGCACCACATTAGTTTGCTGGTCTTGTTTTCAGTTTGGGAAATTAGTCACAAAGCCTATCCTGGTACTATGTCACCCATTGAGATGATCTGTTTTGAAGGGTTCATCTTCAAGGGTGGCGTTCCATGGAAGCAAAAACTCCGATGGTATCTTCTGTTGAGAAGCAAGGGTGCTTTGATCAGTCCATGAGCAAAGGCATCGCCAGAGTGGGCTTCAAACCACATCTCTCCTTTGTTCCTTGGCTTGCCTTCAAATACATTGCAACTAGCAATTAGCCCAATCATATTTCAGTCGCTTCCCCGCCAGCCATGAAATTACATGCAAGTTTTTGAAGAAGTAGGTCACAAAGCTGGGAGAGGAGAATTCGGCATATAGCTAGCCATCCACATTTGCACATTTGACTTCTGTGAAGTTGATGAAAATGTTCTCACTAAGACTCTGCAGGTCCTCCAGTGCAACTCTATGAAGTTGACTATGGAGTCACACCAGAGGACATTAGATCAGTGGTTCTCAACCTGTGGGTCCCCAGATGTTTTGGCCTTCAACTCCCAGAAATACTAACAGCTGGTAAACTGGCTGGGATTTCTGGGAGTTGTAGACCAAAACACCTGGGGACCCACAGGTTGAGAACCAATGACCTAGACATTCCTAGAGAAAACAGCTCTCTGGGAGAATCTAGGTCCACCAATGGACCTAGATTAACTTCCATGCTGGAAGACCTAGAAGCTAAAAGAGTGTGACCTGTCCAAGTTCACTCATTGAGTCTCTATCATGCAAGTGTTGATCCAAACCCTGGTCTTCCAGGTCCAAACCAGATTTCATGCTGTGAACAAATTTGTGGTGGACATCATGAGTTGTATCCAGTAACGCAACCTGTTTGCCTTCTGATCTCACTTCTTTTTCCTCTTTTCTTTCCAGCGGAACCTGCTGATCTCTTGAAGGTATTAGATTTTCACAATTTGCCCGACGGCATCTCCAAAACAACAGGTTTTTGCACAAGCCGGAGGTCTTCCAAAGGAGCAGATGTGGCGTACCGAGTCACAAAAGATGCCCAGCTGAGTGCCCCAACCAAACAGCTCTACCCTGGTAAGCTTTGCTTTATATTCCAAGTCAGGCGATGGGATATGGAGTCCATCGTCTTATGTGAACTCAATCTATGGGTTCATCTGGCTCCGTATCACAGGGCAAGACTACTACATGCAGGTCATTGAAGGTCCTACCAGTCCACAAAAGTGCCCAAGATGGTGTGATTTGGGGCATATTTTTTGACCAAAACCCATACAGAACGTTCCACCTCACCTTCCAAACCACGTCAGAACACTATAATACCCTCAATACATCTGTCTTCTGATGATGCCCCTCTCGAAATGGCAAGAAGTATCACTATTGATGGAACTGTATTGGTAAACATAATATGTGGGATTGCCAAGAAGAATGGAAACTATGGATGCCCACATTGGCTGTAGAGCTACTGGACATCTGCTGGCTGGTGGACCCAAGGGTTTTTATGGGCATGAACTAGCCAAAATTTCACAGATGACATATGGAGGAGATGGTTCGACTGTCCCTCAGACTCTTTTTCTCCTGGTTCTATGTTTTGGAGCCAAACCCAGGCGAGGAGGAGACGTTCGGGTGATGACCTCCATCTCAAATGAAACCTTGTGTACACAACCACTGGGAAGCCGAGGGCATAATTGAGACCTTGGATCTCAGCTAAACCCTTCCTTCCCTTTCCCTTTAATGACATGCTGCCTCCAAATAACTAGATGTCGCTTAGCGGGGGAAGAGGCGAGAGGGATCAAGATAAGAGAAGTAATTGCAGATGGAAATGGGTCTTTGGGGATTTGACAATGAAGGGTGTCGGGAGGGCTATATTTGGGGCTAATTAGAAGCCTTTTGTTATCCCAAGATGGTAGTTTTGGGGTCTTTGTTTTGGACTTGTTCAGCCACTGCCAACATGGTACAATGTGAATAGAGAAAGTGCTTTGCTTCTGAAGATACGTAGCAGTCCTACAAAAGATGGAGAAGAACAACACAGATAGTTTTGACACCTAAAAAGCAGGCACCATGATCCCTAATAATATTGATTATTAGACTAGCTTGGGTCCCCGAAGATGCCCGGGTTATTTGAAAAAGGCACTGTTTGTTTTAGGGCATTAGGGTATTGTATTGTATTTTTAAAAGAGCTTGGCCTCATGTTAGCCGCCCCGAGTCCCCATCAGGTAGATGATGGTGGGGTATAAAGAAATATTATTATTATTATTAGTTAATATCATTTAGTTAATTAGTAACACTATTTATTAGGGGAGAAAACAGAAAGTGATTTTGTTTTTTTATGAATGCTCTCATTAGAAAATACATAATGATTTGAGTGAACTACAATTCTCAGAATCGTGGGTCAATCCTCCCCAAACCAGACCTGTATGCACATTGGCCATGTTGGGTGTGCCATGTTGGGTGTGCCATGTTGAGTGTCCCATGTTGGGTGTCCCGTGTTGGGTGTGCCGTGTTGGGTGTGCCATGTTGGGTGTCCCGTGTTGGGTGTGCCGTGTTGGGTGTGCCGTTTTGGGTGTGCCATGTTGGGTGTGCCATGTTGGGTGTGCCAAGTTGGGTGTCCCGTGTTGGGTATCCCATGTTGGGTGTGCCATGTTGGGTGTGCCAAGTTGGGTGTCCCATGTTGTGTGTCCCATGTTGGGTGTGCCGTGTTGGGTGTGCCGTGTTGGGTGTGCCATGTTGGATGTGCCGTGTTGGGTGTGCCGTGTTGGGTGTGCCGTGTTGGGTGTGCCATGTTGTGTGTCCCGTGTTGGGTGTGCCGTGTTGGGTGTGCCGTGTTGGGTGTGCCGTGTTGGGTGTGCCGTGTTGGGTGTGCCGTGTTGGGTGTGCCGTGTTGGGTGTGCCGTGTTGGGTGTGCCGTGTTGGGTCCAGATCCATCATCGGCTAGGTTCACTGCTCTCTGGATAAGAGTGAACTACAACTCCCATATGCCAAGGGTAGTCACCGCCAAATCCTGCCAGTATTTACAGTCCTCTAAACCACTCCAATCTGTTGAGCTGCTGTTCAGTTCCTCTGTGTTTGTTGCATGCCATAAAAAGAAAGGAAAAAAAGGAAGGAAAGAAGAAAGATAGGAAAAAAGGAAGGAAAAGAAAAAAAGCAAGGAAGGAAGGAAGAAGAAAAAGAAAGAAAGAAAGAAAGAAAGAAAGAGAAAAGGAAAAAAGGAAAAAGGAAAAAAGAAAAAAAAGAAGAAAAGGAAAAAAAAAAAAGAAAAAAAAGGGAAAGGAAGAAAAAAAAAAAGAAAAAGGAAGTAAAAAGGGAAGGAAAGGGTAAAGGGAGAGACAGTGGGCGGGATCATGCAAATTCCACACAAGGAACCCTGGAATGCCTGCCTGTGGTGGAGAAAACACGTCAAATCTAGGATGAAATTCTCCCCAAATGAAAGCATTCCTTGGTTGATGGGCCGTAGTGCCTGGGGAGGACATTGGCAATGTTTGGGCTCCATACTCCATGTGGGTCAATCCTCCCCAAACTAGGCCTGTATGCATAGTTGACCATGTTAGGTGTGCCAAGTTGAGTCCAGATCTATCACCAGCTAGGTTCACTGCTCTCTGGATAAGAGTGAACTACAACTTTCATATGCCAAGGGTAGTCACCGCCAAATTCTGCCAGTATTTACAGTTTCCCATGTTGGCTCCAATCTGCTGAGTTGCTGTTCAGTTCCTTTGCTGCGTGCCATAAAAAGCATAGGAAAGGGTTAAGGGAGAGACAGTGGGCGGGATCATGCAAATTCCACACAAGGAACCCTGGGATGCCTGCCTGTGATGGAGAAAACACGTCAAATCTAGGATGAAATTCTCCCCAAATGAAAGCATTCCTTGGGTGGTGGGGTGTAGTGTTTGGGGAGGACATGGGCAGCATTTGGGCTCCATGTGGGTCAATCCTCCCCAAACTAGGCCTGTATGCATAGTTGACCATGTTAGGTGTGTGTGCCAAGTTGAGTCCAGATCTATCACCGGCTAGGTTCACTGCTCTCTGGATAAGGGTGAACTACAACTCCCATATGCCAAGGGTAGTCACCGCCAGATCCTACCAGTATTTACAGTTCCCCAAACCCCTCCAATCTGTTCAGTTGCTGATCAGTTCCTCTGAGTTTGCTGCAATCCATAAAAAGGGTAGGAAAGGGTTAAGGGAGAGACAGTGGGCAGGATCATGCAAATTGCACACAAGGAACCCTGGGATGCCTGCCTGTGGTGGAGAAAACACGTCAAATCTAGGATGAAATTCTCCCCAAATGAAAGCATTCCTTGGGTGGTGGGTTGTAGTTTTTAGGGAGGACGTGGGCAGCATTTGGGCTCCATGTTCATGGCGCTCGCTGTAACCTGCAATGGCAGTGGAGAGTGCCTTTGGAGGCTTCCCAGCACTTGGAACTATAGCCTGTTTGTGGAGATGGGAGGCTGTCTGTGTAAGCGGACACCTCCGCCACACACACACACATACACATTTTCACTTTTATCATGTGTATAGATCAGGGGTCCTCAAACTACCGCCCACGGGCTGGATACGGCCCTCCAAGGTCATTTACTCGGCCCTCGCTCAGCATCAACCTAAGTCTGAAATGACTTGAAAGCAGACACAACAACAACAACAACAATCCTATCTCATTAGCCAAAAGCAGGCCCACTCTTCCCATTGAAAAACTGATAAGCTTATATTTGTTGAAATTGTTCTTCATTTTAATTATTGCATTGTTTTAAAGTGGTTTTTTTTTTGCACTACAAATAAGATATGTACAGTGTGTGTAGGAATTTATTCATGTTTTTTTTTTCTAATTATAATCTGGCCCTCCAACAGTTTGAGGGACTGTGACCTGGCCCTCTGTTTAAAAAGTTTGAGGACCCCTGGTATAGATAGATAGACAGACTGACTGACAGACTGACTGACAGACTGACAGACTGACTGACTGACTGACTGACTGACTGACTGACTGACTGACTGACTGACAGGCAGGCAGACAGGCAGACTGACTGACAGACAGACAGACTGACTCTGACTGACTGACTCTGACTGACTGACACTGACTGACTGACTGACTGACTCTGACTGACTGACACTGACTGACTGACACTGACTGACTGACACTGACTGACTGACACTGACTGACTGACTGACTGACTGACTCTGACTGACTGACTGACTGACTGACTCTGACTGACTGACTCTGACTGACTGACTGACTCTGACTGACTGACTCTGACTGACTGACTCTGACTGACTGACTCTGACTGACTGACTGACTCTGACTGACTGACTGACACTGACTGACTGACACTGACTGACTGACACTGACTGACTGACACTGACTGACTGACTGACACTGACTGACTGACACTGACTGACTGACACTGACTGACTGACTGACACTGACTGACTGACACTGACTGACTGACACTGACTGACTGACTGACACTGACTGACACTGACTGACTGACTGACACTGACTCACTCACTGACACTGACTCACTCACTGACACTGACTCACTCACTGACTGACTGACACTGACTGACTGACTGACACTGACTGACTGACTGACACTGACTGACTGACACTGACTGAGTGACTGATAGATGTTCACAAGTTAATCCCAGTTGGGTCCTGATGCCTACACAGAGTTCAGTGTATACATTTGTTCTTTTTCAATATCATATGACCACGCATATCAGCAAAGGAATATGTACAAGAGAGGACCTAGGAAATTTCTAGAAAGGACAGCAGACATAGGACAGTATGGTCCTTCATAGAGCATACACCTACAGGTTTATAGGCCATAACCAATGGTTCAAATTATGACTTAAGTATGGCCCATAGGCATTGAAATAGAGGAGCCCATATTCAAATCAGTGCATTTCACTACTTATATTAGCATAGCCTATGATGGTATTGCCAATCCTTTGGTGGGAATTCACAATTCTCTTCTTTTCCTCTTTTCTCTGGATGCAGCATCTCCATTTCCGGAAGATTTCTCAATCCTAACCACTGTAAAAGCAAAGAAGGGAAGCCAGTCTTTTCTGCTCTCTATTTACAATGAGCAAGGCATCCAGCAGATTGGCATGGAGATGGGCAGGTCTCCTGTATTCCTGTATGAAGACCACACAGGGAAGCCCGGTCCTGAAGATTACCCTTTGTTCCGGGGCATCAACCTATCAGATGGCAAGTGAGTATCCTCCACCCCTTTATTATTATTATTATTATTATTATTATTATTATTATTATTATTATTATTAGATTAATTTCAGTTACTTCATACGTGCAGGGGAGATGTTTCTGAACTTTCCATGTAAACAGAAGACCATGGATAATAATGAACTCTATTGAAGTGCACATCTGCTAGAACTTACCATGTAGTCATATGACCTGGAGGACTTAGAAAATTCCTCTCTAGTGATTTGCTTAGTCATCCAAAGCAACCCTATGGTACTTACTATGGTAGAACTTACCATGGAGTCATATGACCTGGAGGACCTAGAAAATTCCTGTGGAAGTACCATCTCTATTGATTTGCTAAGTCTTCCAAGGCAACCCTATGGTACTTACCATGGTAGAACTTACCATGGAGTCATATGACCTGGAGAACCTAGAAAATTCCTGTGGAAGTACCATCTCTATTGATTTGCTAAGTCTTCCAAGGCAACCCTATGGTACTTACCATGGTAGAACTTACCATGGAGTCATATGACCTGGAGGAACTAGAAAATTCCGGAAGAAGTATCCTCTCTATTGATTTGCTACGTCTTCCAAGGCAGCCCTATGGTACTTACTATGGTAGAACTTACCATGGAGTCATATGGCCTGGAGGACCTAGAAAATTCCGGAAGAAGTATCCCCTCTATTGATTTGCTATGTCTTCCAAGGCAGCCCTATGGTACTTACTATGGTAGAACTTACCATGGAGTCATATGACCTGGATGAACTAGAAAATTCCGGAAGAAGTATCCTCTCTATTGATTTGCTAAGTCTTCCTAGGCAGCCCTATGGTACTTACTATGGTAGAACTTACCATGGAGTCATATGACCTGGAGGACCTAGAAAGACCCTGAGGAGGTACCGTCTCTATTGATTTGCTAAGTCTTCCAAGGCAACGCTATGGTAAAGTCCAACAAGATCACACCATAGAAGAAGCTAGAAGGTTTCGAAAGAGGTATCCTATCTAGGTATATGAGAAGTCCTTCAAGATGATTCTGGGGTGAATTCCAACATAACATAGAATCACTTGGAGGTAAAGTTTTAGAAACCATGAAGAAATAGAAGAAACTGGTTCTTCTGTCTCATACTTTGGAAAGATTGACTTTAGAAATGCTTAGACGCTTTATAAGATCTTCTCAACTTCATGGCGGGCCTTTCCTTCTCAGGTGGCATCGGATAGCCATCAGCGTCCACCAGAAGAACGTCACCTTGATTTTGGATTGTAAAAAGAAAATCACTAAGTTCTTGGACCGGAGTGACCATCCCATCATCGATGTCAATGGCATCATTGTCTTTGGAACAAGGATCTTGGATGAAGAAGTCTTTGAGGTAAGAGGAAAAGAGTCACTAGAAATCCTGAAATGGGGACTCTCTTCTCCTTCTCCTTCTCCTTCTCCTTCTCCTTCTCCTTCTCCTTCTCCTTCTCCTTCTCCTTCTCCTTCTCCTTCTTCTTCTTCTTCTTCTTCTTCTTCTTCTTCTTCTTCTTCTTCTCCATCCTTCTTCTGCTTCTTCTCCTCTCCATCTCCATCTCCATCTCTCCTTCTCTTTCTCCATCTCCATCTTGAAATTGGGACTCTCTTCTTCTTCTCCTTCTCCTAATCCTTCTCATGCTTCTTCTCTGTCTCCATCTCCGTCTCCATCTCTCCTTCTCTTTCTCCATCTCCATCCTGAAATGGGGACTCTCTTCTTCTTCTTCTCCTTCTCCTAATCCATCTCCTGCCTCTTCTCCATCTCCGTCTCCATCTCTCCTTCTCTTTCTCCATCTCCATCCTGAAATGGGGACTCTCTTCTCCTTCTCCTCCTCCTAATCCTTCTCCTACTTCTTCTCCATCTCCATCTCTCCTTCTCTTTCTCTATCTCCATCCTGAAATGGGGACTCTCTTCTCCTTCTTCTCCTTCTCCTAATCTCCTGCTTCTTCTCCATCTCCATCTCTGTCTCCATCTCTCCTTCTCTTTCTCCATCTCCTTCTCCTTCCACTTCCACTTCTCCTTTTCCTTCTCCTTCTCCTTCCCATTCTCCTTCTTTGACTCTGTCTCCTTCTCCTCTCCTTCTCAGAAAGAGTAGACTGCCACATTGTCATCAAATCGGTCCATGTGACCAATATTAGTAAGAGATTTCATAAATAGACTATTCCGGGGCAGTAACTTCCTTGTTCTACCCTCCAAAACAAGTCTTGGTTCCTCTCTGGATACCATCTTTTCCCAAACTTATAGATATGAATTATCCTATAGTGAACCATAGCAATCGTGTTGGTCCATTACAATATTCTGTGCAAAACAACTATTGATGAATTTTTCACCAAACAAGTCCTGTATTGCGAATTTTCTGCTTTTTGGAGATTTTCTTACAGTGGAAGAGCATTACTAAAATCAGCACGAAAATCAATCACCCTCCGATCCTTTCCTTCTCGTTGAATTCTTGTCTAGATGAGACCTGGCCAAAGTTTTGTGGGAATGAGAAGCATGTTTCCTTAGCTGTAAAGCTACCGATGGATGCAGTGTCTGTTTCTGTTTTTAGCAGCGGACGTGAGATGACTTGGATCAACTCGGGAGCTTAACTTGTGGGACCTTTTGCTGGATACAATCTCTCCTGCATTAAGGGTTTTCCGCTTTTAAGGGGGTTCCTATCACATCTGCCGAAGGCCCTGTCAACAACGGAAGGCTGATATCAACTTGAGAGGGGCTTAACCTTGGTCCCGATAAGCAACATCCCTGTAACGGAGTATCGTAAAATCTCCAACTTTCCACTAATGGCTTGCCGGGGAGTTTCGAAAGATTCCTCCGACCTCAGAGTGGAATAAAAACAACTTCTGCTCATTAAAATTCAATTAGCTTCAGCTCCAGGTTGTAGAGAGAGAGGAGAAGCGGGATATGTTTTGACTGAGGTCCAGGTTTGGCCCTTTGCGTGTAATTTTTGTTTTGCAAGGGAAACGTGGGTTGGAAAATACAACTTGACCAAAATATAAAAACTGGAAGGGACTGATTTGTGAGCATCAGTCAAAGCTTGGGAAGTTGCTTTTCAAAAGTTACTTTTCCTCGTAGTGGATGTCTTTATGCTTGTTCTGAAAGCAACTTGTTGTATTACCCTTCTATTGCTTGGTACGATGGATTCACATACAGGTTGAACACAAGTGGCCCTCTAAGGTCTCTGTGGTCCTCCATTGGTCACACTGGAGGATCTAGAGCAGTGGAGCCTTCAGATGGAGAAATACAATCATCCAACCCCCATATTTGCTGTGTTTTGGTGTTTTGTGAAGGTGGACCTGAGGGAACACCTCTCCAGGAATAAGTAGATCCTCCAGCATGGCTCTTTGGTAACTTCCACCTATAGAGATATTCCCCTCTGGGAATCTCTAGGTGAGTGGTTCTCAACCTGGGGTCCCCAGATGTTTTTGGCCTACAACTCCCAGAAATCCCAGCCAGTTTACCAGATGTTAGGATTTCTGGGAGTTGAAGGCCAAAAACATCTGGGGACCCCAGGTTGAGAACTACTGCTCTAGGTCCTCCAGCATAACACCATGGTAAACTTCCATTGGAAGTTTCTAAGTGTCTGTGCTAGGAATCTCTCAGTCTTCTAGTGCAACTCTATGTTCAACTTCCTCCATGAAGTCCAACAAGAGGGAAGTCATGCTTCCCCTCTATTCTACCACACCTGGAATCACACTGTGTCCAATTCTGGGCACCACAATTGAAGGGAGATGTTGACAAGCTGGAATGTGTCCATAGGAGGGCGGATCAATGGTCTGGAGAACAAGCCCTGTGAGGAGTGGCTTCAAGAGCTGGGCATATTTAGCCTACAGAAGAGAAGGCAGAGAGGAGACATGACAAGAGCCATGGATCAAGATGTGAGGGGAAGTCATAGGGAGGAGGGAGCAAGATTCATTTCTGCTGCCCTGAAGACTAGGACACCGAACAATGGCTTCAAACTACGGGATAGAAGATTCGACGGGATAGAAGATTAGGAAGAATTTCCTAATTGTGAGAGCTGTTCAGCAGTGGGACTCTCTGCCCTGGTGTGTGGTGGAGGCCCTTTTTGGAGGCTTTTAAGCAGTGGCTGGATGGCCAACTGTAGGGTGTGCTTTGAATGCAATTTTCCTGCTTCTTGGCAGAAATGGGTTGGAGTGGGTGGCCCACGAGGTCTCTTCCAACTCTATGATTATATTAATCTATGATTCTAGAGGACCAAAAGATCCCTAGAGAGAATCTTTGAATCAAATCCATGAATAATCAAATCCATAAATAATCAAATCTGCTAAAGTCTACTGCAAATATGGAGGCCCAACTATTAGGGAAGAAGGGATTGCCTGTAGAACCCTCCTGAAAGAACACATCTAGATATGTCTATCTTCTCCAGCATGATTCTATAGTCAATGTTTGCTGGAAGTTGACCATAGAATCACTCTGGAGGACCTATATCTCTAGATCAGTGGTTCTCAACCTGGGGTTCCCAGATGTTTTTGGCCTTCAACTCCCAGAAATCCTAACAGCTGGTAAACTGGCTGGGATTTCTGGGAGTTGTAGGCCAAAAACATCTGGGGACCCCAGCTTGAGAACCATTGATCTAGAGATTCCCAGAGGGGAACATCTCTATAGGTGGAAGTTACCAAAGAGCCATGCTGGAGGATCTAATTATTCCTGGAGAGGTGTTCCCTCAGGCCCACCTTCACAAAACACCAAAACACAGCAAATATGGAGGTTGGATGATTGTATTTCTCCATCTGAAGGCTCCAAGTTATACTTAGCGCCGCCTCCTTTTCTTTGTAAAACGGAGCTCCAGACTCCAACTCCGGTGAATTTACCCACCACCTTGGAGAGCAAATTTACGAGGCTGGCGTCGCGTCCGACCGCCGCTGCCAAGCTTGATTTCACTTTTCTCGCTGCAAAACCTCTGCGAGGAAGTCTCCATTATTATTATTATATGTATATTTTTGAAAAGCCTCAAATCCATTGCGGGGGAAGGATGGAAAATGCAAAAAGGTCTGAGCCAGCATTTTTTCGTGCACGCCGTTTCGATTACCGAACGGGAGAGCTGTCCCCGCAACCTCTAATTTATGGTTTTAATCGTTGGAGTTTCGCTGCCATTTTTTCCCCCCGTTGTTATTTTTCAAGAGCTGTTCCCTTTATTTGTACTCTTGGAAGAAGGCCGCTTTGATCATCTGGAATCAATCCCCGGAGCTGTGTTGTTCTTTCCCCTTCTTTTTTCCTTCTTCTTTTGGTAAGAAGGGAAGGATTCATAAGTGCTGTCTAAGAGGGAAAAATGTTGACATCTCTTGGCACTTCTGCCACTGGAAAAGGTAATGTTTGTGGTGAGCTTCTCATGCTGTCGTCCAAGCGATGGTGTCACTCCGATGTGCTTTTCTTAAAGCAAAAAATGGGTCCGGTTTGGCCTCTGATGAAGTTTGAGAGTCTTCCATTTTGAACTATGATGTCAAGAGGATGCTGGGAATTGTAGTCCAGGAATATTATTATTATTTGAAACACAACAAGATGAGTCCACAGCAAACAAGGTCACTGTACTGCCACATGCTGGGCCTGTAATAATTGATTTTTTAAGCAGGACGTGCTCTTTGTGCTCAGCGGGGAGCCGGGGTGCCTCAGGTGAGAGGCCTTCAAGGATTTTCCCATACACAGTCTTTAGAAGGCTTGAAATGTTTAACAAAGTTCTTTATTATTGCTTAGGTCTTCAATAAAACAACAAACACTTCTTGGATCTTCAACAGATTAAACGAATCATAGAATCCAAGAGTTGGAAGAGACCTCCTGGGTCATCCAGTCCAACCCCCTGCCAAGAAGCAGGAATACTGCATTCAAATCACCCCTGACAGATGGCCATCCAGCCTCTGTTTAAAAGCTTCCAAAGAAGGAGCCTCCACCACACTCCGGGGCAGAGAGTTCCACTGCTGAACGGCTCTCACAGTCAGGAAGTTCTTCCTCATGTTCAGATGGAATCTCCTTTCTTGTAGCTTGAAGCCATTGTTTCATGTCCTAGTCTCCAAGGAAGCAGAAAACAAACTTGCGGCTCTGGAGAACAAGCCCTATGAGGAGCGGTTTAAGGAGCTGGGCATGTTTAGCCTGAAGAAGAGAAGGCTGAGAGGAGATATGATAGCCATGTATAAATATGTGAGAGGAAGCCACAGGGAGGAGGGAGCAAGCTTGTTTTCTGCTTCCCTGGAGACTAGGACACAATGGAACCATGGCTTCAAACTACAAGAGAGGAGATTCCATCTGAACATGAGGAAGAACTTCCTGACTGTGAGAGCCGTTCAGCAGTGGAACTCTCTGCCCCGAATGGCAGAATGGGGTTGGACTGGATGGCCCATGAGGTCTCT